GTGGAGACTGATATAATCATGACATCAACTTGAGCAATGATGGTGCAATTAGTTGAAATATTTTAATAATCAATTCTACTGCCCTTCTCCAAAGCATGCCACAAACACCTCCCCCCCACCAAACCCCAAATCAGTATGTGTTAATTTAAATTTAGGATGTATCAAGAGAAATGGTGCTAGCTTCTGTTTCAACTTTAATCGAACTAAAATGCCACAAGAATTGCTTTTTATTTTCTAAATTTTCAGACTTAAAAGAAAATTAGCAAAATGGAACTAGTATGACTGAAAGACAAAATGTACAATTAACAAAATAATTTGATTAAGTACTATAATAAATCAGAGTAATGGAATTAGAAAATAAGTATATAAAGACAAATATAGTTCACTCATTTCCTTTCAGTTGTAATAAATTCCATCCTTTACTACTGCAACTGTATTATAGCTGTTTACATCGTAACTGGATTAAAATGCATTTCTGTACAAGTAATTTGATTTTCTTTCTTTGAAAAAATGAAGTCCTATATTAATTGTGGTAGGGGAGTTCATTATTTAAATGATGCTATAATGAATGCATAAGGAAAAATCATTTCTTTGGTAAAGTCAACTCTTCCTTTTCATTATTGTTTTCCAAATTTGAAATATTCATTATTAAATTTAAAAAAAATGAAACATAGGTGTTTTAGAGTGGGTATAAATTATAAGTAATTCTGATATCGTATTCAAGAAAATGAAATTATATTTGAGGTAATATGACAGATTTTGAAAATACAGTTAGAGCCTTTGATACTAATAAATACATATTTATCTAAATTAGTGTTTGATGCCTGAAATCTTTTATGGGCACATTGTTAAGAAAGTTACTCTGTAAGAGGAACACCAGAGGTTCTGAGAGGCAGTCTTCAATACTCAGCATCCCCTTAATTGTTGCAATCATAGGAATTTATGTTTTAATCAGAACAATACATGTAGCCTGCCATGTTCTTTAAGTCCTCATTCTCTGTATTCACTTTCCTTTGGTAAAAGCCAGAACCCTGCAGGTTAGTTTGCTTAGAAATGTTTAAACCAGACTGCCAAAAACCTTCTCCAACAGCTTTTAGAAAACCATTTCTCAGACATATAGGAATTCTTACTAGTTGAAAATCTGCATGAATCTAAAATTAAACGCAACGGCAATTCATGTTGAAAAGAATTTATGAAGAAGGAAACCATGGCAACAGAATCCTTTATTTTTAACCGTACCAACCCTTATCTCTACTTTCACCCCCAAACTAAGCACACTAAAGCCATAGCCCTTTCTCTGCTGCCTTATCCCCATTGTGATTCTGCACCAGTCAAAAATAGCAACAGGAATTGTCATATTTACATTACTAAGCACTGTGCATGCCGCGCTTCTCTTCCTCTTGACTTGCTCACATTTTCCAGCAGGCAGCCTTTGAGGAAGTTTTGTGGTTGTCAAGGGGAAACTCAGCTATTGCATACTGCAGGGGCAGTGCCATTGCCGATGCCAACAACAGGCTCTCTAGCAGTTAGACCGAGGTCCTGATTTAATTCCTCAAAGATCCCACATCTTATCAGAAGCGAGCTGACCACACAGGACAAGAGCAGATGTAACTGCAGCATAGCACAACTCAGCATCCCTTGGCTCCTAGGGATCCTGTCTGTACACATATCTGAGTAGCTCTGGTTTGCCACACCACTGCCTTTTATTTTCCAGGTCATACTTACATCACAGTGCCAGAACAACTTACATGTACAACATGCATGCTTTCCTTAACCGAAGCTTATCTACTTCAGGAAAAGGTTGTTTCTGTTAAAATGTCTCAAAAGTGCTCATCAAAACTTTTCATGTGATTATAATGCTAGAAAACATCAACATATTTTCCCATTAGTAATTTCAAAAACAAATGACTTGTAAGACCAGTATGAGTCTGAAAATCTAGTCACCTGTTTTAAGAAAAGACCACCTGGTAGGATAGGGTATTTAAAATGTGTCTTTTGCAATTCCTTTGTCTGTTTTGATTTCTGTTATCTCACTTGCATGAGGAACTTAGGATGTTTAGAGATAGGGGTTCATTCCTCCTAGATTCGGTTGAGCTAATCATCCCAGAAGGGCTCTAAGACAAACACAGGCTTTATTATGGAAGATCAAAGACTTGGGTAATAGAAATAGGTATAAGAACATGTTTGAAAGCATGAAGGGTACTAACCCAGTAACCTAATTTAATCACTTGAAAAATTGATCTTGTATTTTCTGAAATAAATGAAAAATCTGATGGTTAAAGGGACCCTGGCCCATTTATCTATGAGCCATACTCAAGGTTAAATAAGAGAGCAAGAGAAGGCTACGTCTAGTAATGTGCTGGTTACAGCAATAGGAGAGCTGAGGCATTGACTCCTTATAGGTTCATTTCAACTTTTTAAAATTAGTTTCTGTCATTAGTTACCATGGCAATTTCTCTGAAATTCTCTCATTAGACTGATCTGTAGATCCATTTGCCTGATTTTTTTTCACCAAAGGCTTTTTGGAGTATGAGACAAGGTTACCAGGGCTATCTGCTTAAAAACAGTAGCAAATACTCACAGACACTTAACTACAAGAATGAGTGTCTACTAACGGCAATGTGTCACATTTTCGCTAAAGTAAAGGAAAACAAGAAAAACATTGTTTGGAATTATTTCTTTGAAATCAGACGAAGACAAAGCTATGTTGTTTTTTGGCTTCAGTACAGAGAAACAAAATCTGCCTTTCTTTGGAGAAATTATGAAGAGAAAAGCAAGAATATCATATAGTTTCTCTGTTTCCACAGCTGCAGTTACTTTATTTTCTGTGATTGCTTTTTTGTTTCCAAGATTTCCCATTTTTGGTAGCAGCTCTGAGGATTTATTCAGCAAATATTTGTTTTGCCCCTACAAGGTATGAGTCACTGCCCATGATAAATGATAGCTGTGGAGATCTGGCCATGGAAGGGCAGAAACATGAGGAAGCCTAGGTGTAAATAAGGTTTTGAATAGTCATCTCTCACCATCCTAGAGAGACACGAGAAAGAAAGCTGCTTATTCAGCAAAGTAAAAAGAATAAGGGCACACAAAAAAAGAGAAAGGACACAAATTTTTTTCTCCACAATTTATGGAGTATTGCCAAATGACTCTTTGGAAGAAACCACGTTTTCACACTATAATTTGGTAAAGAAATAAGAAATAGTAAAATTTTATTCTTTCTGAGCTTGTAGCCAGTCTCATAATAGTCAAATGTGATCAATTTGGATAACTTTTGCCTTGAAAAAAATAAGAAAAATTTGATAAAGCCCAGGATAACAGTTTTTGTGATTCGGATATGAAATTGGACATTTACATATTAGTTAGGTAAGCAAGTAGTAAGGAAATTTTGAAAAATCTGAACAAGTTGCTCTTGGGCCTCTGAGGTACACCTATTCTCAGGAAGATACAAGTATTTACATTCTTTGTTGCTGTAAGCAAACAGTAATAAAAAAAAAATGATGTTAGCTTGAGGAGAAAAGATTTGTAATTGATATTTTGTTTATAGCCAACTTACTCTTAAATGGATGTTTTTAAAGTGTCTGAGGTATATAATAGGACAACAATTATAAATCCAGGAGGCAATCCAGGCAAAGGGAAAAGCAGGTGGAAAACAACTGAGGCTAAGCCAGAGGAGCAGGAATGTAAAGGTGTCATTGTCATGGGACACTGGCTGCTTACCAGGAGAGAGCCACGGTTTTGCTCCTGACTTTTCCGGCCACCGTTCTAAATAGGAACCAAGCAGTTACATGTTTCACAGTGTCCATGAGCGAAATCCCAATGAGTCATTCAGAAGTGTAAATATTCCTGGTACTTAGGCTTGAAATTTCTCCCTCCCATGGGTCCACATAAAAACGCCAGTGCATAATCTGGTGCAGCTCCAGGAGAGGGTCCTCAGTGGGGGCCAGGGGAATCTCATGGAGGAGCTGCCTCCTAGCATGTCCCACTCAGCCACCGCATAAACAAAGCCACACCACCTCTGGGTGACTAGGATGCTTCAGCTGGAAAGACTGCTGGCCTCTTGGGCTCCATCCAGCAGTAAAGATTTCCTCCCTGGAGTCTCATCATTACAAGAGGCCTTTAAAAAACTCTGCCTTGCTAACATTTTTCTGTCTAGAAAGGCAGACTATTCTGGAATTAAGATTTGGTAAATGTCTATGTATTCAGACTTCTTACCCATTGGTCTACTGTATGAGACAGAGTTGAAGAAGGAAACAGAATCAGCACCATTAATTTCTCAGGGAATATTTAATATAGAGAATTACAGCAGGTGAGTAGCATTTCAGAGGGTATAAAATAGAATTCAGAGAATACCCAAGGGTTGAAAGTTCCAAATGAAGAAATACACTTAGATGAGGGGGTTCTTCTTCAGCACTAAGATTCAGACTTCATTGGAGTCTAAATTCACTGTGGCTGGACCTACTGATGGCAGGGAAGATGGATTGCTTCAGGCCAAATCTGGTCCATGGCCAGCTGGTTGGGATGGGTCAGCTGGGAAATCTGGGTAGGAGCTCGCATTCAGAAAGCCTTCCACTGGTGTCCAAGCAAAACTAACTGGAGGGCATGTGCCATGTCAACTCTTGGACATACAGCTCCAACCGCCACACTCTAGAAGAGAGGAAGCAACCAAATCAAGAGAAGTCTGTTTCTCTGGCACTGTCCCTCCTCTGATATCTTCCGCCAACAAAGATTAATGTAGTGGTGACTAGCAAAAGAGAAGTCTTTAGGGGTTCCTACTCCAGTGTTCCCAAACAGGGCAACGAAGGGTGAATTTGGAGCACAGGGGCAATAAGTGGGTACCTGGCATACCTACTGTGAACCCCCAAAATCTGAGATTGGTCTCAGTAAATTTAGGAAGTTTATTTTGCCATAGTTAAGGACGTACACCTGTGACACAGCCTCAGTAGGTCTTGGCGATACATGCCCATGGTGGTCATATCACAGCTTGGTTTTATACATTTTAGGAAGACATAAGACATCAATCAACTTGAGTAAAATGAACATTGGCCGTGTTCAGAAAGGCTGCGACAACGCGAAGCCAAGGTAGGACAACTTGAAGCGGGGAGGGGGGCTTCAAGATCATAGATAGATAAGAAACAAATGGTTGCATTTTGAGTTTCTGATTAGCTTCTCCAAAGGAGGCAATCAAATGTGCATTTATCTCAGTGGGAAGAGGGTTGACTTTCAATAGACTGGGAGGCACTGCACCAAAAAAAAAAAAAAAGAATGGGAGGCAGGTTTGCCCCGAGCAGTTCCCTGCTTGACTTTTCCCTTTAGCTGAGTGATTTGGGGGCCCGAAGATTTATTTTCCTTTCACGCTACTTTTCCCCAAATCATTAAATTTTAAGGTATGTAATGCACATTTATGAATGCTCATTACACATTTTATGCTGCAATATATAAAGTGATGCATTTTATAGTTCTCAAGGAGTTGCAATAAGAAACAGTGGCAGTGGAGTCTAAGGCATCAGTAGTTTTTCTAATAGACCATAGGCAGCTGACAATGAATGTTTGTCAAATATGGATGCTGTATTGCTTTTTTTTTTCCTTTTTGAGAAGGAGTTTCGCTCTTGTTACCCAGGCTGGAGTGCAATGGCTCTATCTCAGCTCATTGCAACCTCCGCCTCCTGGGTTCAAGCAATTCTCCTGCCTCAGCCTCCCGAGTAGCTGGGACTACGGGCATGCGCCACTATGCCCAGCTAATTTTTATATTTTTAGTAGAGATGGGTTTTACCATGTTGACCAGGATGGTCTCGATTTCTTGACCTTGTGATCCACCTGCCTCGGCCTCCGAAAGTGCTGGGTTTATAGGCGTGAGCCACCGTGCCCGGCCTGCATGCTGTATTGACTTTCTGATATTCATGGCATAGAAGTTTGTGATTTAGCCCATTGCCACATCATTTAATAAGCCAGTAATTGTCAGAAAAAGGATACCATACTGTGAGTAAATGAGAATTCATTTATTCGGTCAGTCAACAATTATTTGATGAATACCTACTATATCTTAGGTACTGGGGATATAGAGCAAGGTAAAAATTAAAAAGCCTCAAGGACTTTAAAGTGATAAATGTTTTGAGGAAGATCCATAAGTGCTATTACAGTAAATAATGGGGAGACTTCATCTACTCAGGAAGGTTGGGAAGAATTTATAATTGCAAGAAGTGCAATTGAGGTTGAAATGAAAGAGGGAGATAATTGCTTAATGGCAGGGTGTAGTGGGAAAAAGTCTTCCAGGACTTGGGAATATCATGTGCAAAGATCCTATGATGAGAAAGAGTATATATTCAAGGGATTGAAATAAGGTCTGTGTGGCTGAAGCATGGGGATCACGGAAAGGGATCATTGAGGGACATGAATTCTCCAGCAGATTTCATTTGCACCATTTGTTCTCCTGGGTCTCCAGTTTGCCTGTCTACACTGCACATTTGGACTTGCTGGCCTTCATTATCATGGAAGTGACCTACTTATAATAAATATCTTTCTCTCTATATGTGCACTTCCTATTGGTTCAGTTTCTCTGGAGAATCCTGACTAATACAGACTTTAATAGGTAGGAAAACACCTTAAATCCTTCTTGAGGATTTCATCTCCATCTCACTGGTTTATCACTGGAGGCAGTTTCCCTCTCCAGGGGACATTTAGCAATATCTCAAGATGTTTTTGAGGATATCTCAAGATGTTTTGTCATCACTTGGGGATAATCTTCCTGGCATCTAGAGGGTAGAAATTAGGCTAAACCTCCTAAAACGAAAGACAGTCCTCCCCCCACTCCAATAAAGAATTCTCCCATAGTTGAGAAACCCTGATCCATCTGAATGGATAGCCATTGAAATATTTTATTCAGGACTCAGGGTGGAGGATTAGGGTGGGTTGGGGGAGGGAGGACAGTGAGAGTGATCGTTTGCATTTCAAACATGTTGCTCTGGAGAAAGCTCATAGTAGATACAGGTTGACATCAAAGGGGTTATAAAGAAATTACTGTCACAATTAGCCTTCTGAATCTGAAAGTAAAATTTGTTTACTGTCTCTCACAGTAGTATTGTTTTCTTTTTATCATGGCTATAAAACCTGCATGCATTCCTCAGGAGGTTGGAGAAAGTCAGTGACATTAGTCATTCAAATGGCTTAACAGGGGAAAAAATTGAAAACATAGATAATGTTCATCATTTAGTTGTCTTATTCAAATGAGGTGTGTTACTGATTTCTGGGAACTTAAGGAATCTCTTTTCTATCAACTCAGCTTTCAGACCTAAAAACATTTGCAGGTAAGAAAGCAATGCAACAGATTTCCCCCAATTTCCATATGGCTAAAAGCTATTGAAGCCCAGCTTTTGAGGAAGTAATAAATATTCCAGTGGAAAGATAATGAAAACTAAATCCTGAGAGTTTTAATTGGAAGTTGTAAGACCCTTAGCTGAGATCTGAGAGGTAAGCATTTTGACTGCTTTAGGAAGTATTTGGTATTGTGGTGACAGATCTGAAAATGAGGAAAAAGTACATTCAGGCAGCATAGGATGTCCCAGGCTGGCCCCCTTAAGTGCTCTTCTCAACAGTTATCCGCCCATTTGAATGGTCCTACCTCTAACTCAGGAGGGGTAGTATTTTAATCCTTGGACATATTTCTGTTTAATCTTTTTCTGCGTAGCCACCATAAAAGTATAGGCTGCAGATATACTTCTATAAACAGATTTATATAAAAATCTTAGAAGAGATTTTGTTTTCAACTCTCTTTAAAATGAATTATAAATATTGCAAGTCTTTGTTGCAAAGGTTTTAACTAAATGAGCATTGATTTGGCAAGCTCTTAATTTTCCTTTTAAATTCTGATTGAACCAGGTGTATTGGCTCACCTAAACTGACTTCATTAAGGTGCCAATTTTCACTGTTTCTGAAGTATCAAACGCTTGTTTTGAGACTCAGAGAGGAGAAACGGACAGGAAAAAAGCAAACCAAACCAAAACAAAACAGTTGACTGTGAATGAATGCAAAAAGTGAGTGCAAATAGCTAAAAATAAAACTATTCCTAGAGCAAATATTAAAATACTCATGTCTTGATGCAAAAAGAAAAGACATAAGAATCTCCATGCTGGCTGAGCAGTAAAAATAACCATACAAGCATCCCATAAGTCAAATCCTAAAGTATTATGATCCAAGAGATTTTATTCATTCTCATCTTGGTGAAAAAGTATACATCATTCTTTCCTGTGTCAAACCTTCTAGACACTTTTATTAATGTATATCTTCAAGATTTTTTATTACCTTATTACTTGCTTAAAACAAGCAAGCAAGCAAAGTTGAGTATTAGAAAGAAAAGCTTGTGACAACTCAGATAATGTGTTACCAATCAGCAGTGTGTATTAAATCGATTCTGAATAGTCGCTATTATTTTAAAGACTAAATAAGATTTGGGGGTTAGAACTGTATGTGTGTTAAGTAATTGAATATTCTACCCAGAGAGCTTCTATGTACACTTTTGCAAGCCTGGTTTCCTCTTCTGTACTTGAGTTAGCTCCAACACTACATTTTATTACCGATGTTTGTACATGTTCACCTTTCACTCACAATCTTGATAAAAGGAATTGCATTTCTTTGGAAATAGAAACAATCTAGAAAGTGAGTAAAAGGAGGTATTGATAACACACAGCTGTGAGATGATGTTTGCAATTTTTAGTGACTAGAGTGCAAAGTACAAAAAATATTAAAGCCCAATCTTTCCACCTCTTACTATATTATATTTTAAATCAAAGAAACTAAAGATTTTTAAAAGAGGGAACATGAATCTAAGTGTTTACACTGTAGTCACTGAAATCAATCTACACCACTGAAGAAAACTTTAAATGTTAGAGCATTTTCTTTCATGCTTTTTAATTAAAAAAAAATTTTTTTTTGATTCTTATTCTCTCTGCCTGACGGTTGGTGGACAAACTATTTGCAAACATTTATATGACTTCTGTTTATGTGTTCCAGAGGGGAAAAGGCCTTTTGTTGTAGGTAGTAAAAATCCAGCGAAACAGATAGGGTCATGATTTGCCAAAGGCCAAAGGTCATGACAAGTGAGTGACTCAAGAAGCCTTGAGGTCAAAGGTGCAGCTGGAATCCCATAACCTCCACTCCACGTTTTACATGACAAAGGAAAGCAGTGCTTTCCTAACTTCTGTGAAGGAATCTAGCTACACGTCCACATTTTTCCTTGAAAAATGTTTTCAAATGATTCTGCCCATGATTATTTTCTCCCTTGAAACCAAGTGGCATGAAATAGGCTTTTATATAAATTGAACGTCTCCTTAGCCTTTTATTAGTATTCTGTATCAACAACCCAGAAGAGGAAGAACTAACAGAGATTAATATGTGTTTTTTAAATGGAAAATAAGCACATTTTTTAGATCAACACAGACTAAAGAAGTACATTTATCTTCTTTGTTATTTTCTTTTTCAATCCCTTTTGTATTTATTGACTGTACCTAAAAATGTTTTCCTTGCAAAAGTAACTAAGAGTAATGGTGATCTCTTATACTTTCCATTTGGAACATGTTCTTCTGGTAAATCCTTAATACAACTCCAAAAATAAGGTTTTGTAACAAGAATCATTCTGGTGTTAACTTTTTTTGGCTAATTTAAAACAATTAAAACTTTAATGGTGCCAGGGCCACTATTTAGGTCAGAATGTCTGTGGCAGATCTCAGGATATCTTAGTAGCTGCCTCTCTCTATACCATGTAAACTGGAAGAAAAATGCAGAATCTTACTTTTCAACTCCACTGGTTTCTAACCTCTCATGAGCACTTAATTCCTCATAGAGAAGGAAATAGTCACGCTGTAGAATCCTGTGGCCCATGAAGGGTAATTGGATAACATCTTTTGAAAGATTTACAAGGCTGCCAGGGATTTTGCCAGCTTTAAACCTGATTGATTCAGTGTGAAAAGATCTGAACAATTCTGACCTAAAAGTTTAAAGGCAGACCTTTCCTGTGAAAGTGTAATTTAGGGCCTGTAATAAAATTGTATTGAAAAACACCACAGTGAAGAACACAGCCATAAATTGCAAACCT